ATATTTAGATATAGCTCCCATATATAGTTTCGTCCGATTTTATGTAAATGGTGCACCAAAGTCCCTATATATCTTTCGATTTGCCCGAAACTTGACATAACGTATATTTTCGTCCGATTTTATGTAAATGGTGCACCAAAGTCCCTAAATATCTTTCGATTTGCACGAAATTTGGCATAACGTACTGAATTGAGCCTAGAGTGATGTCTGCCAAGTTTCGTGAAAATCGGTCCAGATTTAGATATAGCTCCCATATATAGTTTCGTCCGATTTTCACATTTCGATAAATATCACATATTTTAGTTCATCCAATTCCATGTTAATTGTTCTGTTTAATATACCCATAGTGGTGAAGGTATAATATAGTCGGCCCCGTCCGACTTTACTGCTTTCCTTACTGGTTTAATATTGGCCAAGTTTCGCGATAGCCCCAATTAAAGGGTACCCCCTAATATTCGATATTTTGATAATGTTAGGCACGCTTTTCAAACGAATTGGCTATAATTTGGTGTTTTGGGGTCTAAATGTATAGCGAACCTCATTACTGAAAATTATTAATATTGACCCAAGTTTCGGGGTAACCCTCATAACAGGTATCCCCAATATTCGGAACTTTGGGAGTAATGGAGACGTTTTGCAACGGAATTGGAATATATTTTGGATTCTTATCGGGTGTTTAATCGCACAACCAACAATTATCAATATCGGCTTCCTTTTTGATAAAGCCCCCATGTAACATTAACCCTACAATTCGGAATTTTCCAACATCACGCTCCATTTTTAGTATATTCGAGTTACTAGCCCAACATGAGTGGCTGTACTTAGTTTGGTATTTTGTTTTCTCCTTGATGATCCTATCGATTTTAAATAGTTTGAATGTCCCCCTCATGGTGGAGGGTATACAAATTTCGAACCGGTCTAACTTAATATCGCTTCTACTTGTTCCTGCTAGTTCCCTATTAGTAAATTACGAGTTTACTACACTCAACGATTTATTAGACGTTTATAGAAAAAACATCCCACTGTAGTCACATTGTAATCTCATTTTCGTTTGTTTAAAATAAATTGCTAGTCAAAATTTTATACAAACTGTCCATAAAGACATACGTGAAAGGCACACATGTGGTAGTGTATTTGTACGCTTTGTACACAACTATTAGAATAAATTCTGCTAAGGAGCCTGAGCCTGTAGAACAACCAAAACAAACTGTCGAGTACTTGGCAAGACGAAGAAGATGAAGAACTTTAAACAACTTGAGTAGTTTAGGGAAATTCACGTCTCTTTTGCACCAAGTCCTATAGACATTTTTTCTTCATTCTTTTCTACATGGTTTCTTTCTTCGGCCGCAATGTTGTAAGTTTACTTTCTAAAGTTGTTTAAATGCAGAATTTGAGCCTATTCAACCGGAAGATGAGTTTAGAAAAGTGGGCCAAGAAAGCGAAGCAAAAGAAACTACAACAAATGAAACTTTCTAAACGATAAGTAGACTCATCATCATCATCAACATGGTTGGAGTCGTCTTCGAGTTAGTTTCATTTTGGTTACCGAAAAAAATAGTTAAGTGGTAATGGAGGACGTGATAGTATCTGTGTGCTCCAAGTTTTTCCGTATAAAAAAACAACAACAACGAAACAAAATTACATAGACAAAGTCAGTAAATTGAAAATAAATAGTCAATGTGTTTTAGGTATACAAACTACTCCCCATGGTGATGAGGATAATGATAATGGAGCAGACACACACACACACATACACACTCTGTGCATACCATGATTGATGTATACCATATAAGGAAGCTCCTTAATAAAATTTACAACTTTGTTTGAAGACTTAGTACTTAGTTGTTAAACAAGTTCACATGACTTGATTTAATAATCATAATCATTACCATCATCACCAATGATGCCATAGTTATTATCATCTAGCAGAAGTCTTCTTACTCTTTAATCTGAAAAACATAAATTTATCTGTAAATTGAATTTATGTTGTTTTGAGTGAAATCTATTTATGTTTAGTATTTAGATGGAAATAATTTCAGTTCAAGTGGAATGTAAACTCAATGTGTAGCGAATTTACATGCAATGTGAATGCATTAGGTTAGAGCGTCCAAAATATCAGATATGTATATACACTTAAAAATTAAATTAACATGGTTCAGTATTTTTACGAGGATCATTCAAAAAGTATCTTGAAGTCCTAAGTTACCAACAAAAATTATCGATTAGTTAGGTATTTTTGATTTCAGACACTTCTGGGAATATGCATAGTGTTCGGAAAATGTTTCTGTATTTTATGAATGCAATCCATAGAACGTTAAATACTGTTTTTTCGTCTCAGAGAGTGAAAATGACTCAAGTCAAGTTTGATGTACATGAAGTTTTGTTGAAATTGGTTTAATTTTAAGTATAGCTCCCATATATAGTTTCCTCCGATTTAATGTAAATTGTGCACTAAACTCACAAGGATTATCCGATTGATACAAAATTTTGCATAGCGTATTGAAATAGGTACACATTAATGTATTCAAAGTTCTGTGCAAATCGGTTCAGATTTAGATATAGCACCCATATATAGTTTCGTCCAATTTTTGGTAAATGCTGCACAAAACTCCCAATAGCTTTCCGATTGAAATCGATTAAGATTTATATATCGTTCCCATACATATTTTCGTCCGATTTGATTTAAATGGTGCACCGAACAGCCTAGGTATTTTCTATATACATATTTTCACATACATTATTTTGTTCGATTTTATACCAATGGTACACAAAGGAATCCGATTGACATGCAGTTCCATTTGGTGGTCCTCTAATATGTACATTTCTATTCTGTCTACAGGATATTGCTAATATATAGCATCTCTTGTATGTATCAAAAGTGGTAAATGGTGTCGCACAGTGTCACGACCGCGGCCAAAAATTGTCAAAACCAACTTCCTCGGAGGACAAATTTATTGATGAAAATTGATATAAAACACTCCCAAGTAGAATAAATATGAAATTTGTTATTGATACGTCAAGTATTTTTGTCTATACAATGGTTAAAATCAGATAATTGTTGGCAAAATACTTTCTTCACATTTTTTCGAATGATATATAGGGACTTTGGTGCACCATTTACATGATATCGGACGAAACTATATATGGGAGCTATATCTAAATCTGGACCGATTTTCACAAAACTTGGCAGACATCATTCAATTCAGTACGTTATACTAAATTTCGTGCAAATCGACAGATATATAGGGTCTTTGGTGGACCATTTACCTTAAATCGGACGAATATATCTATATGGGAGCTATATCTAAGTCTGAACCGATTTTTCCCAATTTCAATAGGGTTCGTCCTTGGGCCAATCAAGTTAGCTGTGCCAAATTTCATCCAAATCGGATTATTGTTTACAATTTGCATAAATCGACTCATAAAGTGATTCTATGCATATTCTCAAAAGGAACTATGGGTCTATCTCGTTTCCTTGTGCCTGTTGCAAACATATGCACAAAGACATAATACCCTGTACCACCTTGCGGTGAAGGGTATAAAAATGGGTACATTTTTCGGAAGCTAAATCTTTGAATATTTAAGTTAACGGTTATTATAGAAGTGTTTATTTTGGTTGCTTGGGTTGTTAAAAGCTAGGATTAACTGTTGTTTTTATATAAATAGAGACAATATGAAGTTTATAGCTATCCACGCCTTTAGTACTTAGTTCATATAAATTGTCAATTTTTGTTGAATTTAATTGAAATTTAAAGATTTTTATGCCAAAAAGGGTAAAATTCTCAAGACCCACTATATGGGAGGTATACCAAATCTTGGTCCGATCTATCCAGTTTTTTGTTATTTGCTTTCCAGACATAAGTAGATAAAAATTGCCAATTTACATTGAATTTGGTTGAAAATTAAAGATTTTATAGGCCAAAAAGGGTAAAATTCTCAAGTCCCACCATATGGGTGGTATATCAAATCTTGGTCCGATCTGTTTGCCTGTTGATCTTTTTTTTGTCTGTTGATCTTTAGGCCAATAATAAGCACTTGTACCAAATTTCATCAACCTACGATAACTACGTTCTATTTTTGGCCGTTGTAAATATGAACTCGCGACATTGTGTGTCGTATAGTCGGCCCCGTCCGACTTTTAAAGTTTCCTTACAGGTTTTATTTTTTCTTCTTCGTTACGTCTTGTCTCGTATCATAGGACAACCGTATACAATGTTAAAAATTCGTTTGGGCTTGTTGTTCGTATCGACACTTGCTTGTATTTAGCATTTATATCGAAATAATTTGGAAAATACATATGGGAATTTTGTAATTTTCTTAGGAGGATACAATTTTTTTTGTCAAAGAGAGAGAGAGAGAGAGAGAGAGGGAAAATAAACGCAAGTAGTAAAGTAGGAGAATAGTTTTAATATTAATGAAATGTTTAAATTGTTTAATGGTGGATTTCTCATGATTATAAAATTTTTTGCTTGTGTTCAAAGCGATGTACATGTAAAATATGGGAAAAATTACAATTTCCCAGTTTCCGAATAAATATGGTGTAGGGTATTAAAAGTTCTGTCTGGATTTTTCACTTGTTACAATTAAATCAAACTTTCTAAAGAATTGAAACTCTATGCAGATATATCGCCAATTTTTTTACCAAAAACTGCTCATCAATAAATATCTGTAAATTGGTAAAAGTTACAAAAAATCGTACTTTAACATAATATGAACAATGTACCAAACAATTTTTAGATATGTCTCTCTTTATTACCATGATTCTTGGGAGTAACATCAGTTCTATTGTGATGTCACGTGAATCGATTAATTAATTTTACCACTGAATATTACATTTACATTTTTGTAGAAATTAGAGAAATCGAAAATGACTGGAATTCTCAAAAGTCTTGCCGTTTTTCGGTTATTGATACCACGAATTGATGTTAACCTGATCTGGGCATATTAAAAACGCATTACATTAATAATTAATTAATTTTCTCTATTTATTATTCTTACAGGTCTACATTGTCGGACATATACCACCTGGTTCTGATGAACGTCATATTGGCCTACAGCAAAATGGTCATACCACATTCACCGAGAGCAACAACAAACGTTATCTGGAATTAGTAAGGAAATATTCATCAATTATTCAGGGCCAATTTTTCGGCCACTTACATTCCGACTCATTTCGAATAATATACGATGACAAAGGTATGTATGTGTGTTGAACGCCAGTTTGTTTCTTCTTAATGTCATCTGATTGTATGTTTGTATATATGCGTGCGTGTGTGCGTAATTTGTGGCTGTTATAAAATATAATAGTTTTGAATGAATGGTAATGAATATGAAATCAATTTATTGACTCTCTTCACGCCAGTGTACTAACCACATCAACAACTATTGCCAATATGTATGCAAATATTTATTGAAAATGACAAATATTTATTTAAAATGGTTTAACCTCACCCGAGGCACAAAGGTTACATTGGGGTGGCTAACAATGGCAAAATCCTCCACAAATATGCATATGGGGAAGTATATTTGTGCTCCTTGCCCCCAGTACGAATAGATATTTATCTTCATTTGGGTTGGCATTGTAGTGTTTGTATACAAATATAAATATATGAATTCATGTATAGTTGTTCGCATGTACGTTGCTAAAATTATCATAAATATTGAACAGTCCAGATATTGTAACCTGTGGTCATATTTATACAATCGTTTTCGTGGTATTCTCTTCCATGGATATGCTTCCATCATTCATTGAAATAAAATTCTCGTTATTAGGGTGTACACACATCAAATAGAAAAGAAAACATTTTACCTCAAAATATTCATCACAGACGACATGAAATATATATAAGTATTTTCAATCGTTTTAATGTTTTACATTTAAAATGGATCGGTTTATATTGAAAATGGATTTGGTATAGGCCACATATAACGACATCTCCTCATTTTCGGTATTTTGATGATTTCATTCATATTGTAAATAAACACTTTTCCAGGTCCCAAAGTCTTAAGAAGTATTTTTCATATAAATCCATACTCTTATAGCGAACTACGGATACAACGAACTATGTTTATAACGAACCATTTATTCGGTTCCAACATTCAGTTTTCATATATTTTAATTTGGTTATAACGAACTTGCTACAAATGTACCTAATACTTTTACAAAAAATGTCAGCTGTAATTTGACGGACGGGCATGTGGTATGCAGTGAGATCCCAAAATACCACATTACAGCAAAGTCGGTTGAAAAACGTGTCCAAAATACTCAAAATACCGAATATTGATGGGTACCGAATATTGAGGGGTACCGAATATTGGCTGTGCAAAATTTCATAGCTCTATCCTAAATATTGCGATCTCTATCGTGATTTCAACAGGGATTGTAATTTGTCATTCCGGGTTCCTTGTGGTATAAACAAATTATTAAAAAAAGGATCTTCAAAATTTTCAACTTCAATGTCCGTACATTGATATTTTCCAGTGTATAAACATAACCTGACAGATCACTCAAATGAGAATTATGGCCAACTCGGTTGGAAATCCGCTTCCTAAATGGTCCATATTAAAACCAGTAAAGAAAGTAGTAAAGTCGGGCTGGGCCGACTATATGATACCCTCCACAACTTTGGGTATACTGGGTTATATCTATATCTGAACCGATTTCAAGCAAACCTGCCAGAGATTAATTTTTATTAACTTCAGTACGCTGTGTCAATCGGCCTAGCTATGGATCTTTAGTGCACAATTTACTTAAAACCATCACATCATTCTAGACTTAATGTAGTACGCTATGCCAAAATTCTTGCCAATCAAAAGACTTGCAGGGACATTGGTGCACCATTTACCTGAAATCGGGCGAAACTATATATGGAAAATGTATATAAATCTGAACCGATTTTCACGAAACTTAGCACACATCATTCTAGACCTAATTCAGTGGGATATACCAAATTTCGTGCAAATCGAAAGATATATAGGGACTTTGGTACACCATTTACCTTAAATCGGGCGAAACTACATATGGGCGCTATATCAAAATCTGATCCGATTTTCACGAAACTTAGCACACATCATTCTAGACCTAATTCAGTAGGCTATACCAAATTTCGTGCAAATCAAACCATTTTCAGGGACTTTGGTGCACCATTTACTTAAAATCGGCCAAAACTATATATGGGAGCTATATCTAAATCTGAACCGATTTTCACGAAACTAGGCACATATCATTCTGGACCTAATTCAGTACCCTAAGCCAAATTTCGTGCAAATCGAAAGATATATAGGTACTTTGGTGCCCGGTTAACTTAAATCAGACGAAAATATATATGGGAGCTATATTTAAATCTGAACCGATTTTCACGAAACTTAGCAAACATCATTCTGGACCTAATTCAGTACGCTATGCCTAATTTCGTGCAAATCGAAAGATGTATAGGTACTTTGGTGCCTATATCGGACGAAAATATATATGGGAGCTATATCTAAATCTGAACCGATGTTCACCAATTTTAATAGGCTTCGTCCTTGGGCCAAATAAGTGACTTGTGCCAAATTTCATAATACCCTGTACCACAGTGTGGTGAAGGGTATAAATAGATTATGGTACTCTATAGGAAAATGTATTGATATTCAGTAAGAAGTCTTTCTTTTGTACGAAGATGTTCCTGTATTTCATAAAATAGCTTTATAGTTATCTAAAAGATGGCTCCCGAATCTTCAAATAAGAAAACCTTCTGATTTTCAAGAACATTCACACACATCATTCTAGATACAATTCCGGTTATCATATAAAAATTTCAAATAAGCAAATTCTGGAAAATATATAAGAAGACTTTGGCATAAAAGAAGACCTTTTACATAAAATCTGGTCTTCTATATATGAAGAGCTATATCTAAAAGACCTTCTGGTCTTTAGATCAGATGATGTTTTGATATACTATGAATATGAAATCTTTCTGGTTCTGGACGTTTTTGTATTCCATAAAATATCTTTCTAGTAATATAAAAGATAAGTTTCTGATATTCAAATAAGAAGACCTTCTGGTTTTCAAATAAAAAGTACCTTCTAATCGTCAAATAAGAAAACTATGTATTTCTCTGGTCTTCTATAATAAGACCATCTTGTTTTCTTTAAAAAATACTTTTTGATATTTTAAAAGAACCCCCTGTAATGTTCTATAAGAAGGTGTTCTGGTAGTCTATAAAAAGACTTTCAGGTCTTATGTAAGGTAACCTTCTAAAGTTTTAATAGAAGTCAGAAGTCTTCTATTAGAAGACATTCTTATCTTCTATTATAAAATTTGTTTATATTTTTTAAACCCTTCTGTGTGTCTATAGTGAGACTTTTGGGTCTTCTATTAGAAGACTCTCTCGTTTTTTTATAATCAGGCACTCCTGGTCTATAATATGGTCGTCCTCCAATAGGTTTCTAGTTAATCCATTTCTCCATAAGTTTCGCCTCTTGGTTATGCCAACATATATAATTTATATTTATTATCGTTATTATGTTACATCATTCAATTCCATTCAGACTAGCATACTTATATAAATGAATAAATACGGTAGTATATATTATACCCTCGGTTAGGGAATTTCCGTTTCTCATTTTTCCTGTTCCATGGTTAACCACGTCACAAATTGCTCCATGAAGACGCCAACGTCATATCGTTCAACATGGTATCCCCCCGGTGTTGGGCAATCAACATCATTTATTCGAAATTATTCTGTATGTTTGTTTGGGCATTGACTCTGAACTGGTGGACCGGATTGACCATAAATATTTGGGTGTGTGTGTGTGTATTTATACTAGCCTGTGTATACTTCTTGTGAATATACAACAAAAATGTACAACAGAATTGTATTTTACACTGACTTCTTTCAGTGTGTTAAGTAATGAATGCAACATTTACACAATGGAGAAGCGATTCATTCATTCATTTATCCATTGAAGCTGTGGAGGGCAAAAATTGATATTGCGGGCGAGTAAATATGTAAATGAATATGTGCGATTGTCCATTAGGATGTGTTTCGTATGCACAAAGTGATTCTTATTGATGTTGTGCTGGGTACTTTGCATTACTGTGGTTGTTATGCTGTGTTTTTTGCATCATCATTGCTGTAGTTGGTCGAGTGCGAGCATTACACAATGTGTTGTTACGGAATGGCAATTATTATATTGGAAAAACCTCACGAACAAATTCATCGACGCTTAGATGGTCAGTTAGTGGGAAAAGGAGAGGAACTAATCTCTAGCTGACTACTTCTCATTGTAGTCGATTGTTGGAGTATGTGTGCGTCCGTCTATTGAATCCTATAAATTTTCCAATCTGTGTTTGCACACTATTTATATGGAAATGTAGTCAAATCGAAATATGTGCCCATGACTGAATTGGGAAGCTGAACAAATGTAAATAACGAACAATTAGACGTTGCGTTGACAATAATCAACAGTACGAAATAAATGAATTCCTGTCGGATTGAATTTATGACTTGGACGAACTGGTATACATTCAGATCGGAATAATCCATACACAATTAGTAATTCAAAGGCAAATTTTGGATACTCAATACGAGATTTTCTCCGGAAACTACAAATACAACATTTAAACACTAATCCGATTTAAAACAAAATTTATCATAGTCATATCTAGGTTATGTATCACGTTTGATGTAAAAAATAAGGAAATTAAAACTATCAGATTTATATTCAGGTGCATAATAGTGTAAATGATTTGAACAATATGCCCATGTAAGTTATGAGAAATACTGGCTAACCAATAATCATCGAAACGGCAGAAGCTAAAATCTATATATTTTGTGATTTAGTATTAACGTCTAGGCCGAGTCCTGGTCCAGCTTTTCGTCCTTATTTTCTCACGCCGTACACTAAATATCATAAGAGAGATTTTTTGCCTCCAAATCTTATGTCGTTTTTTATATCAATTTTAATCAACCGATTAACCTTATATGCATATCATTTTAAATCTAAAATCTCGCTAGTCTTATGGAATTAATCATATTGAACGTTGCTTCCTTATTCTTCAGCAAATTACACAAACAAGTTCTTTAAACACTTCATATGAAATAAAATGAATTTAATAACATCATAAAGTAGTTATCTTCAATGAAGCTAAACAAACAGCATTGTTCATGCCAATATGCTATTCGGATCATACAAAATTATATGAATGTGCTAT